GGACAGGAAGGCAGTTACGATCTAATCGTGGTGGGAAGGGGTCAGTTTCCATCGACCGTGGTGCCTAAACTAGCGGACCGCCCAGCAGAGCACACCGAGTTGGGGCCGATAGGCGGTATATTGGCCGAGTCGAACTGGGGAATAGTATCTTCAGTACTGGTAGTTCAACAGTATAAAGGATAAGCTCATGCAGAAGAAACTCTAGTTGTTAAATAGCACAATCAGATAATACTAAACAGCCATTGGCAACTGATGAAGCTTCAAGCCATGTATAAAGTCAAACGTGTTAACTTTTGTATATTTTTGTTGATTAGATATTTAAATCCTTCCCTCCTATATCAGAAGATAAGAAATAAGGATAGCCACATTGCTGCAGAAATGGACCTCTAGATTCCTTGCTGATCTCCATTACATTTACAGAAACATCATGTTCTTATTTCGTACAAAATACCCCCAGAGTAATAAAAGACAACGGTTCGGTCTTCATCCCCATCTTCCTCGATAAGATTTTCTGGGATATATGCTATCCAAGATACCTTCAAGAGTGGACAATGCATCTTGAAATTTTCGGATTTTAAGGAAACCCCTTATCGTTGAAATCTCGCTCTCTGAAAAGTTGGCTTTCTCCATTATCATGTCGACAAGCTTCACAAGGGTATCATCCATGGCTAAGGTACAGAGCCCTTCAGCCAGCATAGCAAATGATGAGAATTCTGGTATTTTTCCTCTCTCGATCATCTCGACCGTGAAGTCCACAGCTTCTCCAATCGGCCCTCCACCATTGCAAAGTCCCCGGTAAACAATCTTGTATGTTACTGCATCTGGGGGATCGGCCTTCTCCAACATCTCTCTGAAAAGTCTCATGGCTTCGTGATTTCTGTTCCGTTTGAACAATGCTTGGATAATGGGATTATAGGCCTGTGGTGTTAGGACCATCCCTTTCATCTGGATTGATCGGAGAAGCCGACTCGCAACCTGAAGTCTTCCCGCCCTACAGAGACCGCCAATAAGGGTTCCATAGGTGACAATATCGGGATTACATCCACTTGAGGTCATAGTTTGAACTATATCTGCTGCCTTTTGAATGTCCCCAGCCTTGCAAAAGTGAGTAAGAAGTGAATTATAGGTGAATTTGTCAGGCTTCAAGCCCTCCATTATCATCTGGTCCATTAAATGAGCAGCATCTTCCACCCTCCTGCTTTTACAAAGACCATCAATAAGGGTGTTGTATGTTACTGAATCCCTTGAAACCCCTTGAAGTTCCATCTCGTCAAATATCTCCTCTGCTTCTTCAATCCTCTTGTTCTTACAAAACCCATCGATCAATGTATTATAGATAACTACGTTCCGTGCACAGCCACTCGACTCCATTTCTTTCAACAGATTTAAAGCCTCCTCCAGTCTCCTACTTGAACAAAGACTGTCAATCAACATGTTGTATGTAAACTCATCTGGGTGACATCCTTTACCTTTCATTTCCTCAAAAAGCTCCATAGCATTCCTGTGATTGCCGGACAAGCAAAGACCCTGTATCAAAGAATTGAATGTACAGACATCTGGTAAAATTCCCTTGCTTGTGAGAAGACGAGCTATTTCAGTGGCCTCTTCAACTCGGTTCTCCTTACACAAGGAGCTGATTATAGTATTATAGGTGACGGCGTTTGGAGAGCAGTCCCTCGAAACCATCTGATCCAGAATCTTCACCGCCTCCTCAATCTCACCCAGCTTACAAAGTCCAGAAATCAGAGAGTTATATGTGTATATATCTGGATCAAATCCTCCTAAAAGCATTGCATCTACAACTTCCATTGCGTGCTTAGCATGACCAACCTTGCACAAACCATTCACAAGAGTATTATACGTAAACTGGTCAGGACGAAACCCTTCGTTTGCTGCTTCTTGAATGAAACTCAAGGCTTGATCAATTCTACCCTGTTTGCAAAACCCATTAATTAAGACATTAACGGTGACATCAGTACAGGGGCACCCATATTCTACCATTTGTTCTTTGATTCTCAGAGCACCATCCAAATTCCCCTCCTCAATGTATCCTTGCATCAGAGTTGTGAATGTGGTCTCATCTGGAGACAAGCCATAATTCGGCATCTCCTCCATCATCAAAATTGCAGGCCTAATCTGATGAGCCTTGCAAAGGGCCTTTATCAAAATGTTAAACGTCGAAACATCATGCCTAATTCGTCTTCTAACCATGCTCGAATGTGCAGATTCGACAAGTTTGAGCTTATTCGCATCAACAAGAACATTCAACAACACATTATAGAAACGGGTATCCGGCTTTATCCTATATTCATACTCCATTACTTTAACAATGTCCATAACTTCATCATACAACTCGAATTTGGCATAGCTCTCAACGAAAATCAAGAAAATACCTCTATCAACATCACAGCCGGAGAGCTTAATCTCCTCGAGGACGCGCCTCATGCACTCGAATGACCCAGCCTTTCCAAGCTTGCGAAGAATCTCCTCATAAACCGAGGAATTGGGTACGAAATTGGGCTGCTTGGAAGCCCAATTGAAGACGCGAAGCGCCGACACTTCATCAGTCTGGCGGCGAAGGGTCTCGAGAAGCTGCTTCGGAGTGAAGTCTGGAGGGAGATGAAGATTCGGGGAAGACGAAGCCAAATTCGAAGAATAAGAGGAGGCGAGCTGGTCGGAGACTGATGTAGAGAAGAAGATGGAGGAATTGGATATGGGTTTAGAGGAAAAAGAGAGGGGAGCGTGCGGGAGAGACCATGGATAACATTTTACACAAGTGAAAGCCATTGGGTCAATTCAACAAACACGTAGAGTGCAGGAAGATTGTGTAGAGGTTTCACCGTTACCGCGGCAATCGTGAAGCGACCGGAGAGGAGAGAAGAAATGAACATTCGCCGGCGAATTCCAATTGAATCTTAGAGAAGATGACACAGCGAGTCTGAGAGAGATCGACGAACACGATAACGTTGGATAAATTCACAACCTTGAGCTTCATTTTGCTTGCATTTCCCTATTGATTTTTTAGGGCAAAATATCTCCCGACCCCATTGCCATTCTGCGAATTTCTTTCTTTCTTTTTTTTTTTTTTTACCATTTCTCAAATTAATAGTAAACTTACATTATATGTCATATCAATTACTGCGAAATTAAATTTAAACTGGCGAATTTAGAAAATGAATTAGACCATCTTCAAAGATAAAACTTATAATTTTCAAATGTTTCTCTTAGATGGGTTATTTTGTTCTTAAACTTCTATATCATCTCATGTAAACTTGTTATTAGCCTATTTTACCTTATACTAATGGAAATTGTATAGAGAAAAATACTAAAACATAAAAGAAATTAGATTGAAATTTTTAAATAATTAGGGCTAAATTGAAAAGTACCTCAGCATTGAAAACTTTTTAAACATATTTTTATTCATTAGGAACAAAAATTGAAGTTATTTGTTACCTCAGGTTTATTAGTAACATCAATATTTATTGTCAAAGCGAGCACAAACGGTAATTGACATATAGAAGGCTGAAGTTCAATCTCTCATCTCACATTTACTGTACTAAAAAAAAAAATATTTGTTAGAATATTATATGTACCAAATGGGGATATTTAACCTTAATTTCAATCTGATCCTATATTTGTAAAAAATTTGTTGGTGTACCTTAAATTTGATTAATTTTATCAAATGTCTTTGTTGCCGATATTCGAGTTTTCAACCTTTTACTCTATGATATATGCATTAAGTAGTTAAGCTAGGCTAGATTAGCTCATTATTAGTGAAAGAACAAAATAAATCTAATATAGGGATTTTTTTTTTTTATGAATATGGGAAGTTATTTATGGATACTAAAATCAACTCTATAATATGACATTTTAGTTTAATAATTTGTGGGTGTGACAAGTCATATTGGTTGAAGAATATGCATTTATGTTGAGTTTTAATATATTATTTTAGTGGAAAGGTAAGCAAATAACTTTTGTATTTTTTTTTTTAAATACAACATAATAGTGAGGGGATTTGAACTCACAACTTCTTGGTTGGAGGTATATACCAATTACCGTTAAACTATGTTCGCTTTGGCGCAAAATAACTTTAGTATTATTTTGACTAACGAGAAGAAAATTTTTGGAAGCTTTAATCGTTAAGGACGAAAATAAACTTTAAAATCCATATAGAATAAATCCACATATACTTTAGAATACTAAGGTAGACATAATATTATTAATAAGAAATTTCAACTTTATCTCAGAAAAGTAAAAAAGAACTCTGTCAAATATATATCTAAAGCTATTCAAGTAATTTTAGTTATTTTGTGATGATGATAGAAATAGCTTCACTGTATGAAAGTCATTTATGAACTTTGCTGGTTTGAATCTACCCTAATAACATCACAAGTAAACCAGCTTAAATATAAGATTAAAGAAAAATTAGTAATGATTATGATTTTGAATTTTATTTGATATATTTTCACCCTTCTTTAGACACATTCATGCTCTTTTAACCCAGTTTCGAAAATAAATACAAGTTTTTTAGAATTACTACTGTTTAGCTTTTTAAACTTTGAAAGTATGCTTAAAAAGTAGATAAAAAAGCAAGAAAACACGTTTAGAAAGATGCAATGTTTATAAGCTAAAATTTAAAACCATAATACAACAAGCATAGCTCAATCAGTTAAGACACCTATCTCACAGCAATAATGAATGCTACTTGCTCGATGGGTGTAGTCATAATTGGCACTAGCATAAAAGAAAGATTCAAGCAAGCACTTTTCATCTTACTGCAAAAGCAAATGAAGATAACCCAAAAATAGAGAGGATAAAAAGAGATGCACTGTTGGTTAAAGAACGAATGTAATGTTATTAAATACAGCATTCACTTTAAAAAGCAGCAATCCAAAAGTAGAACTGTAAAACAAATTTGAAATTAGCTAATAGGTATATTATATTAGCTTTATAGGTATCAGACTCTAGACAGTCACTCAAGACAAGAAAAAAAGGGGCTGCAAAATATGAAGTTGAAGAAGGGAAAAAGACCATGACACACAGTTGCATACTTGTTCAAGGAGAACAGAAGATTTCCAGTGAAATCTGAGTCCCCACATCTCACAAATTTTAAACATTCGGACTCGTTTTAGGCCAGTGTTTCCGCGTTCAGTTGGCACGGCTTCGAATGACGTCAAGGCCCATCTCGGTCGGATCGGTTGCCTGCAGCTCTATTTGAATTCCATCAAGCTCTCTCTTAAATCTGTCCTTGGAGCTTGCATATATCATCTTGCTTCTGACCCTTGAAGTGTCTGGAGACCTTCATTTAACAACTTAACCAGAGATCAGATGAAAAGTATGCAAAGATTGTATAATATAAGTGGAGAAACTAAAGAATTGGCATTACCATGCAATGAAGAAAATCCTGCTTTTTTGGCAGTTTTCTTCTGTGACAAAGTCAAAATCATAAACAGCATAACGGCACTCATCGGCAGGGAGACTTGCAGCAAAATCCTCATAACTTTGGGCAGGCTCGCCAAGTTTCTCCACCACTACCTGCTTCTGCTTCTCCTCGATCTTAAAGACAATGAAACGATGAGTTCTTTTTGACTTGAGTTCCAAAAACTTTAACTTGCATTCATCATTCACCGCAATTCCTGATGCTGCATTGGCCTGTAAGATTCATCGAGGAGCATTATTATCGACACATTTTCGGTTACGCCCAAGCACTTGACTGATCTATATATAGTCAAGCTAAGTTTGTAACGTTCTATCTCCTCAAAGTATCTTCTCATAACTTCAAAACATGACTTTGAAATAAAAAATGAGGGGCTGACTGACACCAAAAACAGTACCCCGTAGCTCTCCATTTGGCTTCTGACTTAGTTACAAACAAAGAAAGAAATGTGGGAAATGATTTAACCTCTATCCTTACAGAAGATAGGGAAGTGATGAAAATTATCCTCTAGTATTGAAAATGGAAATTATTTCTGAATTCGTAAGATGCCAGAAAATATTTAGTAAACCATATCCACGATAAATACTGAATTCAGTAGCATTTCTCAGTTCAAAAACACAGATTATTGCAACAAAAACCATACAATTCTGAAAAGGAGATTCGATCTTAGAGAGGGAACAAGTATAATACTACTAGTCGGCCCCAGAGTTGGATATATGCTCATCAAAAGAAAGCGAAAGGACCCCTTTTCATCACAAGCGATAATCTAGATAGAGGTAAACTACAATTGAAATTGGAAATTTCTCTGCTCAATCAATCAAAAAACTAAATCTCCACTCCAACACAAACCAGATCAGATCTCAGAACTAAAACTACACTCCAAAACAATTCATAAATCCAGACATATTCAAATAATAGCAGACGAGTCAGATTCAGCACATAAACATCACAGACATATCAAACACAAAGTTGAACCAAAAAGAAAAGCTAAACAATAAAAACACATTTCCCCTCAGGAAATCGGGAGAATTAAGGCAAATGACCGCAAACCCATCTGCAGCAGCAGCAGTAATTTCCCTCAGCCTCCGCCGGGACCAAACGGATCATGTAATAAAAAACTCCAGAAGCTAAAAACGAAGCAAATGAATCGAGGGATTACCATTTTTGTGCTTGGCTGGTTCGAGGACGACGGTGGAACAGAGAAATCGGAGAGAAAAAGGGGTTCTCCGGCGAGGAGGATGCAGAGAAGAGGAAGTTGAAGGAAATGGTGGATTAAATTCAGTGGTTGAGAGTGCTAATTACGGTGGCCAGTGGATTCAAATACCAGAGAGGAGCGGAGCGTGTAAACACTGTTGAAAACGATGATGAGCTGATTGCATTTCCTTTAAGTTGGCTTCAAGCAAAAGCCAAACCAGAGAGAGTAAATAGAAGTCTAAATTAGTAAATAAATGTATATAAATTCAATTTTCAAATTGCAATTGTAAATCCCTCTTTAAGTTGTTATTATTCATTGTTTGATTAGATAATATATTTCTTTTAACTAATTGAGTTATTTTGCCCAGGGTTGGGATTAATTTTCAATTTGGTCTATATAATTTTTTTTAAGTTGGTTTGAATTTCTCTTTATAGTATTAAAAGTTTCAATTTAGTTACAACTCGAAAATTATTCATCTTGTTGCAAGTTGTTGTGTCAACGTATTCTATATATGTTGCAATAAATGAGGTTTTTAAAATTGGTTGAGTATGCTAGCTTAACTATGTCTCAAGTCAACTGATTAAGACATTTATCTCGGACCAAAAGATAATTAGTTCAAATCTCTACTCCCACTTGGTGTATTAAAAAAACAACGTTTAGAGTTATAGTAAAAAATAAAAGAAAAACGTAGGCTTTTGAGTAGGTATCATATTATGAAGACAATTTGTGAAGTTTAACCTAATTATAGAAATCTAAGTCAAAATTTATAAAATAATAGAAATCAAAGTGAAACTCAATTATACGGATCAAAGTCGATGGAATTGGTAATGTAGCCTTTAAATTATAATGGTTATTATTTTCTCTTCCTTTACCATAAAAGATGTTCCAAAACTGATTTTTCATGAGGATGTTAATTTAATTTAAATTTTTTTAGATTGTGGTTAATGTATGGTTGGGTTGAGCCGAATGAGCTGCTGAGCCAGCTGAGCCGTGGCTCACGCGCCGGTGTAGATATTTTGGGCGTTGACAATATTAAATTGGCAGAAATTTTGGAAACTTGCTGCGACTATAAATATAATTTATTATTTAATTAGTTAGAGAATTTTGAAAAAGGTAAATTAATTGAGAAATAATATACGGCTCCAGTGGGGTCCACTCAGGTTGTATCGCCGCGTCAATCCAACGCTATCCCCTTTATATTTAATTATTATTTTTAAATAATTTCAAATTTTAGAATTTTGAAGTGCTCCCCCATTATTAACCTAATTATCATATGTTGGCTTAATGAGTCAAAATTTGAGCTTAAAATTTTAATTTCATCCAATTAAAGTAGTAAAATTAATACCCTTAATTTTGAATTTTATTAAAAGCTAATGGCTTAGTGATATTAATTTCCCCTAATTCAATTTAGATATTTTAATTTCTAAAATTTAAAAATTTTTATTTATAATTTGATTAAATCTTCAAGAACAAGGTTAATAATTTGGAATAAGTAAAAGGTGAGGTTTGGGATTAGGATTCTTGAAGGGTGTGACAAGATCCACTCATTTTATAACCAAAATGCATTCCCTCCTTACATAAAACTTATATGATTCGAACTCTAATAGAATTAGTCTAATAGACGAAGTTGAACTCTAATAGAATTAGTTTAATAGACGAAGTTGAGTTTCGAAGTTGAGTTTGGAATGACTTTTGTAAATATAAAACATAAAAAAAAATCTAATCCATCAAAAAGTAATTTTCAAATGTTTATAGTATCTGATTAGGTAATCAAAAGTTATTTTAAAAATTATATAAACACTAAAAAATGTTTGACATAACGTTTAGGATGGACGACCTTTCGATGAGAAATTTAATAAGAGAAAACTCGAATTTATGAACTTGTATTCGTATTGAAGGAATGTAGTGTTACAATCTCTAATGTAAAACCCTCTGATTAATTCTCTCAAATGTAAACTTTAATTCAAGGGCTCGTGAGCTTGTTCTTGAATGGTTGGTGCCTTCAGCTTCTTGCTTGACGAAGGATCTTTGAAGTCTTCGACTTTGAGCTTGTTTGAAAACTTTGACTTGTTGATGAAGTTATTTGACTTGTAGCTTGATGAAGACTTTGTGAAGTCTTCGACTTTGCGCTCGTGAAGTTCTTCGATTTGCACTRATGAAGTTCTTCGGCTTTGCAGCTTGTGAAGTGTTTCGACTTTGCAGCTTCGACCAATTTGACGAAGACTTTGCAGTTTGATGGAATAATTATGAAATTCCAATTCTTCTGGATCTCTTCTCGAATCCTTCCYCAAATGAGGGTGATCCCCTCTAGGGTCTTGGTGGATCTTATATGGGTCATGGGTTTGAACCCAATCTATTCATCACTTTTGATCCAATTAATTAATTTTATCAGACGGTCGTGAGAGAGACACATGACACAATTTGATTCGTCGATTTAAAATTAATTTAGGACACATTTAATTTTATCATTGGTCATAAATATATTTTTAATTTTGTGACATGACATTTAGTGATTAGCTGAAATTTCACCTTCAACCAGTACTTTTTTAAAAATTTGTAGCGTTGTATTAAAATTTTAAAGAAAGGTAAAAAGTGTTTTTGACCCATTAATAATGCTTTTAGAATTTTTGTTAATCAATAGCGTAATTTGATAAATTATAAAAATAGACAAAAGTACTTAATTAATTTTTATACGAAGAATCTAACTAATTTCCTTTAAAAAATATTTATATAATAAGTGTTTCACTTGAAAACACTTACTTTTAATCCGTATGTCAAACAAACACGTAATTACAAATTTGATTACAAGACAGGTGTTTAACCGGAAAAAAAAAACTTTATTTAAAAGTACGTTTTTTCAAAAGTCATCATAAATCAATTAAATCAATTAGAGCTGTTTTGGTTGGAAATTCGGATTCTATTTTTGATTTTCAAAATTTTTATAATGAATAGGCGTTTGTAGGATTTGCGAGATTCGTTTTTTAAAACTGTTTTCGACTCGTAATTCAGTATAAATTCTGAAAATGACTATTTTATGTTTTCAATATTTTTAGATTTAGAATTTGAAAATTTTTAACAGAATTATTTGATAGATATATTATTTTATATTATAAACTTATTTTATGCATGTAAAATAATAATTATACAAAATTCATAAAAATAAAGTTAATAAATTAATCAATATAACTTTAGATTAAATTAAATATTTAGTTTGTAACTCCTCTAAGTTTACAAATATATTACTAAAGATACACTTAACAATTTTTTAAATTGAGATTTCTATTTTCTGACCACTAACCAAACGCACCGTTAACTTTCTCATATACTTGATATCACTAGTAACAATAATGATGTTTTGAAAGGTTTAACCAAACTATAGAGATTATAGCATAACTTTTTTTTTCCACGAACCATAATGTAACCTTTTAAATTATAGGAAGCAAATTGAAATTAAACCTAAAGAATAGAAACTAAAATGGTAAATAACTTTGTTTTGTAATTTACATCATATTTTGGTTTCTATATTTTCAAAACGTCAATTTTAACCTCTTTATATTCATGCGAGAGTTTTTTTGGAAAAAAAAAATTAATTCACAAAGTCGAACTTGATTTTGTATTAACTTTGTGTAGTAAGTACAATTTCTAATATATGTTATTTGATTCTTTCTCTTGAATGTGAGCTCGACTCAACAAGAATACTTGTTTTCGATGTTGAATTTTCAAGTTTTGCAGTCTTAGACTTGGTTTAGATGATTACCTGGTGAATTTGGACTCATTTGGGTACTAAATTTGATCTCTCATTTGTTTTTATTTAAAGGATTTAGATTAATTTAAGCTGTGAGTCAAATTACCATCAAAAAAAATTTCTAAACTTGTTTTGACCTTGAGTTGAGTCGAATTATTTTAATAACAATGGATTCTATTTTAACACTTTTAACAATTAATATAATAAGGAAAAATTAAATAGAAGATTATAATATATATAATAAAGTCACAACAACTCATAAAATTTAAACATTCATGGATAGAGGATAGATAAATGATAAAAATTATAAAGCAATTATTGAAAATGTGCTGAACTAAGAATGAAAATGAGATCATAGGGAAAAAAAAAAGAGATTACCAATCTTAAGAAAAGTGAATCCCAAATTTAAAATGGATGAAATTTTCATTATCTTTTCTCTTTTTCTTTTTTTTTTTATAGGATGAAATTTTCTTTATTGGATTTGGTTAGTGACAAAAATATGAAAATAAGGAATTCAATGAAAACAACTTGCATTCGTCGTTTTGTATTTGGTAGCAGATTTGAAATTGAATCGATAAGTCATTGTTACCCACTAAATATTTAGTTTAATCTAAAAGCATTATTAATTTATTTATTAACATAAATGTTAAATTTTGTTAGAATAAAATTAGTATTTTACAATATTATATAACTTATAATATATTATATTTTATATATTTTAGTTTTAACGAGATGAAATGAATTTATAACTTGAAATATTATATTTATCAAAGTTTTATCTTTTTAAGTTTTAGATTTAAAATTTGAAAATAGAAAATATATAAAAAAAATATTTTCAGAATTTCTAGTATTTGTATTATATAATTCAAAAATAGTTTTCGAACACTCGATCAAGCAGATTCATTAAATTCTTGATTTGGTGAATATGAAAACAAGAGATGATCTGAATTCTCTGCCAGGCTCTTGTTGATTCTCCTCTTAAAATATAAAGGGCACACTTTTGAAAATATAAAGTTGCAAAAAAAAAAAAAAATGCGAGAACTAAAACATTTCCATCATTACCAAAACCCTAATTCCCAATAAACCCTCTTGGCTCCTATTTCTTTCTTATCGATCGGTGGAATCAGATGGCTTTCCTCTCCAGTGTAAGGCGCGTTCTTAATGGATCTTCTTCTTCAGCTGCTTCCTCCATTCTTAAATCGCAGTGGACTACCCTTCGTCTCAGTTCAACTCTCACCTCGCCGAAGCTCTTCATCAGTGGTACGTCTTGTATACAAAATCAATCCCCTTGTGTCGCCATTTTTTCGTTCGTTTCTTGATTTTACCCATCTGGGTTATCGAAAATAGCGTGGAAATTTTGATATTTTTGTTTGGATGCTGCCGTTTTGCTCATCCTTTCTCCCTTGCGCCAAATGGGGTATTGTTAATCAACGATGAACTGTTGTTCTGTTGCTTTTTTGCCCTTTGTTTTGCACCTGTAAATTTAGTTCACTCTTCTGTAAGTGGTGGGGTTTGTTTTAGCCCCTGAAATTTGAAGTCGATTCCAATCTCGATTGTGCTATCAAGACGTTGATTTGTGTGGTTAATAGATGCGTTGAGAAATTTCTGCATTGGAAAGTTCCAAGTAAAGCTTTTAGTTCATTTCTTAGCTCATTTTATGCGCCCCGACATGCCCTGTGAGTTTGAAGCTTTGCAATTTGGCTGACATGCCTTCCAAAGAATGTATTGTCTGTAAGGATCATATTCTTGCTGCTTGTTCTTTATTTTTTTTTTTAAAAAAAAACCAGACTTGTGAAATTGATGTAAGTTCGATGGTAAATCCTATTCATGGAAAACAAATCCACCCCCACCCAAACGAAAAACATTGATAAACCTTATCATTTCCATATTTGTATTTTTCATCTCGTTTCAGTTGATATTGAATGATCTTTATATGATGTTTTTCTTAATCTAATATTCTTTGTGAATCTAAGAGTAGTAGAAATTGATAACTGTCATCAGCATAAGGTTGGTCAGTTGGTGAACTATGGAGATGTACTGTTTGATCTGTTCTTGTTCACTAATTATTTTTAGTTAATACTGTCATTTGAGTTCATTTTCTGTTAGTTGGTTACTTATTGCTAAGTTGATATTGTAAGTTAAGTTTTTTTTATTTTACAGTGGGTTATAGATACCACTCGTCCTTGATCTTGACAAATAGAGGAGATTATCATTTTTGCTGCATCTCTTGTGAGTTTTGGCTTGAAAATGCGTGGTGAATGTCTCATTCTTATAAAATAATGAACAGGTCTTTCAAGATTAACCACAGATGAGAAGCTCCAGGAAGCCTTTTCTTCCTTTGGTCAGCTCGTAGAAGGTTGAACTCTCTCTTTCTCTCTCTCAAATGTACAATTCTGTAGACATTTGTTGTGGACTGCAACATATTGACATTGCCTCGACATTTGTACAGCGAAAGTTATAACCGATAGGGCAACGGGAAGATCAAAGGGATTCGGTTTTGTAACGTACGCCACAATAGAAGACGCTGAGAAAGCTAGAGAGGGAATGAATGCCAAGTTTCTGGATGGATGGGTTATTTTTGTTGATCCTGCCAAACCCAGAGAGCCTAGGCCTCCTCCACAGCCTCAATCTGAGACCTCTGAATTTGGTATCAGAACAAACAAGACAATTGGTTGGTGTGGTTGATAAGATTTCTTGCAAAATCTATGAAATCTCATATCATTTTTTAAAATTTCCAATTGCACAAGTTTGATACTGATGCATATCCATCAGTCCATGGATGCTACAGATAAGTTTTATGAGACAACACCATAAGGAACCCTCAAATTAAAACTGCTAGAAAAAGGTTCTTGTTATACTTACTAGGAATGTATGAAGGGGAAATAAGTTTTTCACTTATTTACTGACATTACCTGTTTTATGAATAGTTTATTTTGGTCTCTAAATTTTGATTTAAACTCTGTTTTAGTTCATTTTAGCTGCTGTATTTTCAAAAAGTTTATTTTGGTCTTTATATTTTCAACTTTGGTTCATTTTAGTCCATGTAATTTTGTAACTATCATTTTTTTTTCTTTTTTCTTTTTTTTTTTTTTGCTTGTGTGCTCTTAAAAACGTGACTATTTTGGTTTCTTTATTTTTATTTTTATCTTATTTATTTCGATCAAATTTTTAGCATGATTTCTCACTCAGTAAATTTTGTGAGATGTAGTCATAAATGTGTGTATAATTTATGTTAAAATTTTACAAATAGAGATGAGAATGGTCATTTTTTAAAACGTTCATGAACCAAAATATATATTTTTTAATAGTATATAGACTAGAATGAATAAGAATGCAAAGTAGAGGAATTAAAATGCAGCCAACACTAGAAGTAAGGATAAGTAAGTATTTAAGCTAGAAGGGTTAGTGTGTAATTTAGATTTACCCAATCAAATTGATTCAATGATGAGTTATATTAGGTTTTGAAAACTTGTGATCTGTTTTGAGATTTTGAATTTAAAACTTAAAAATGATGAATATAAAAATTTTGATAAATATATCATTTTATATTATAAATCCATTTTATTTTTGTTAAAATTAAAATATGTAAAATGTAAAATATAATATATTATAAATTCTATAAGATTGTAAAATAATAATTTTACAAAATTTATAACATATATGTTAATAAATAAATGAATATTATTAGATCGGTGAGCTAGGCAATTACTAGGATTTTTGAGCTAAATAGCTCTTTCCTATACCCAATTTGATATATGTCCCAACCCTTAAAATTTATGTTTTCTAACCTTCAAACAAACCAAATGACCATCACTATCATTCCACCACTTTTGACTTAAATTTTTTACTTTCCCATTCTCGTCTTCTTTTTCTATGGATTTTAAACTTTCTTTCTCCCGCTTCAAATTTTCCCAAACTAAAATATACATATTTTTTCCCTACTTTCCCTTCCTCTCTCTTCTGTTTTGTATTCTTTCCCTTACTCGAGAAGAGAGAGTAAGGTAATCCAATTTTTTTAATTCGATATGAGGCGAAGATTAAGAAATACCGATTCCAAAATGTTAGGATTTCGTTTTTCGTTTTTTAGATTACAAATTACAAAATAAATAAATAAATTTTGAAACAATTTGATTTCAAAATATTAGCAAATAATCAAGATCCAAAAGATTTTTCGTTCGTTCAATCTCGTTAATTTTAATCATTTCTAATTTTTATTATGATTAGAGTTCAAATTTTAAATTTAAGATCTTTTTAATCTCTCATCCAAAACTTTTTTTTTTCTCTCATCTATCATTCTTTATAATTAATTTATTCTCCCTCATAATTTATTTTAATAATAAATTCGGTTTAGATGGAAAAATTTTACAATCAATGATTAAAAAAAACTAAATATTAATGGTATTTCAAATATATTAAAATTTAAATTAAAAAAATGATTCCAATCTCCGCCCCCCATTAAAATCGGTAAGCGAATTAAAAACATCAAAAAAAAAGTGAAGTTACTCATGTAGAACGAAACACATATTTGGATACATATTGCTATTTTTAGATCACCAATCAAAGGRCGCTAAATCTTTTTTAAGGTTTTGAGATCAAAATGTATATTTAAAAGTTTAACTAAAAGGAAATTTAAACCATAGGATATTTAGAGAAACAAAATATTAGGAAAAGAAAATCAATTTGTACCTTTGAACTCGCAAGTTCTATTAATTTCATGGTAAGTTAATTTTATCAAAGTGGACCTTCTATTTAATTTAGGTTAATTCATTCATTCATTTTAACTATAAAAAAAARRAAAAAAAAACACAGAAACACCCACAAAATTAATTTTGATTATTGCACTAAATCAACCATTGAATAGCTTCGTCAAAACAAACCAAATTTAACCAAAAAAAAAAAAGACTATTTTTCGTTCGAATCATATCCATTTCATAAGTTATCGAACGCACGTGAAAATACCTCTTTCAAACAAAAACGGTTGCCGTATTTTTTTAAATTTGGTGCAATCTAATAAATTGATTGTTTAATATATAAATCGATACACCACCAAGTTGAGAGTAAAAATTGACAAATTTTCTAATAAAAAAAATAAAAATTGCAATGTGACAACAAAACATAAGTAATATATATATATATTAGGGATAAAGATAAGAGTATGGTATAAGCTACTTCTCATTCGCTTTTCATTTATTCGTTTCAATGTCATCTCCGTTGAATACCCCTCCCTAAACCCCCTCTCATTTTTCTGTTTGTTTCTCGAGAAAAAGAGACAGAAAATCCAATCCAATCATTTTGTCTTCTTTTCGGCGATGGATTCCGGCGGCAAGGCGAAGAAAGGCGCGGCCGGTAGAAGGGGCGGCGGTCCTAAGAAGAAGCCGGTCTCTCGGTCTGTCAAAGCCGGCCTGCAGTTTCCGGTCGGCAGAATCGGCCGCTACCTGAAGAACGGCCGCTACTCTCAGCGAGTCGGAACCGGCGCTCCGGTTTACCTCGCCGCCGTGCTCGAGTACCTGGCTGCAGAGGTGAATTTCTACTCACTTTCGATTCCACCACTCGCTCTCTTAATTTAGGGTTTTTTTCTTCTTCTTTAACTTCTATCGGAGGATTACACGTTTTGAATGTCATGAATTTGAAGTGCATTTTTTCTTTTCCTTTTGTAGCTGGTTTAGAATTTGATTTTCTTGCCCTTTTTTAGGAGATTTAATCCCCAATTTGAATTAGGTGCTTTTTCGTCATTTCTATTCTCTGATTTCTCTCTGTTTTTGTATTTGTACGTGTAGAAGAAGTCCCTTCTAAGTTTGAAAGAAGAACCTTTGGTGAAGATTATGTTGTTGGTTTTCTGTTTTTAGAAATTTAAATTCACATATGGATGTTTTTTCTTAATTAGTTTTAAATATATTTTTTAACTTTTTTTTTTTGGGTAATATTTCAACTTTGATTTTGTAAACCATTTCGAAAGTATGAACTGAAAATATTGGAAAATTTTAGGCTCTTTTCATGACGATTTTATTTTAGTTTTTTGTTTTTAAGAATTATGCTTACTTCTCCATTGATTTGGTATATTTTTCATCATTCGTTTAAACACATATAAATTTTTAGTGAAATTTTAAATAGAAGTACAATTTTTATAAGCTAAAAATACCTAGGGTTTTTAGACTCGTTTGGTAAGGTTATTATTTCTTGTTTCAGTTTCTTTATTTTTTATAAAGAAAAATGAATTGCATAGTCACAATTCCCACAATTCACTTAAACAATTTTTGGAACAAAGTGGAAATGGAAACCAAAAAAAAGAAACTTGTTTTGATTGTTTCCACTTGGTGCCCCTTTGGTAAGGTTCCAATTTTCTTAAGAAATTTAAGCATTTTACAACTAACTATGTTTCTTGTTGTTGTTTTTTTTTTTTTGCAACATTCTCTAAATTGTATTGAAATTTTGGAAACTACCAAAACTTTCTTTCTAGTTACCATTTCCAATTTGTTCTAATACATAAATAAAAATATTGTTTTATGATACTTGAATTATGAATGTTGGACCATGCAATTCATTTTTCTTTATTAAAAACGAGGAAATAAAAACATTACCAAACGAGTTGTAAAATTTTTAGATTTCTTAAGAAATTGGAAACGGAGAAACAAAAAATGGGAACGTTACCAAACGCTTGCTTTTATGTCTCGTCCTTTAGGTTCTGATTCTAATGCTTTATGGAAACAACTTTTGAATGCTAAAAGCAAAGGGCTAATGTGAGATTGTTTAGCATTTAAAAAAAAGTGTTTGAATAGTCGGTAATGTTGATTCTTTCCACCCTACATTTTTTTTTCCTGAAATCCGTGTGTCCGGGCCAGTTTATGCGGGCCAACCACCTGACCCTACTACATTTGGTTGACAATGTAGCTCTTAGGATATTAAATCCTAGGTAGATGGTCACCATGATTTGAACTCATTCTCTCTAAGCCATTTGCTATTTTCATTGACCATTATTGATTACTAGGTGATTCCATGATGGTTTTTCCACCATGCACCTTGGAGATCCTTTTTTAAAAATAGAAATAAAAATACAAAAAATGGAAACATATATCACCTTTTTTAAGTCCATTCTGAAATAGAACTTCTTCTGTTCTCTGTTTTCTATCAAGAGAGAAATTTTAATCATCCAGTGAAGTTTAGTAGAATTATTTTATTCCCAGATGGAATCTTACACAAATACATCCACGCACATTTAGAGAGGATGTTTGACCTAAGAGTGGATTTGTTTAATCGGGATAGTTAATTGGCATGGACTTGTTTAGTTTGTGCTTGGGTGTAGAGTTGTGAAGTTTGTATTTAAAATGTAGAGTTGTGTAAGTTGGAGTTGTGCATGCTGGATTTATCCTGGCTGATTTTTTGTACCATTAGAATTAGATTCCAATTATTTTTTCAAATTTTAGTTAATAAAGACATCAATTCTAAGATTGAGCTTTTAAGTTATATTATTTTTTGGATATTTTATAGTTTTGTTTAAATAGCTGTTTTGATTAAGATAAACCTAACCATTTTGATGATAATACAATAAGTGATATCATATACTAAGGGGTTGGATTATCTTGTATTAAGAATACCTATAAAAGATTTTCCTGTTTGGCTATTACTTATGGGTTGGGAGGGAGATCCTTAATTTACATATAGCCCAAATGACAATCACAACCTAATGAAATGAACTATTGGTTATTTTTTTAATTGAAAAAAAAAAAAAGAAGAATATTCATAACAAATTAAAGCTTAAATTTTTGGGTTTAGTAGTGATATCCTGCATTCGAACCTTAATTTCGTTTTTCGTTTCCCCCATCATTTGTCGGGCCTTGTGTAAATTTCCAAGCTCGAGTGAAGTGGAATGTTAAGAATACCTACAAAAGACTATACCTACGAAAGACTAAGTATTCCATAATCTATCAGTATAAAGTACTTTTGGGTAATGATCAATAATGTGATGTAGGTTTTGGAATTGGCTGGGAATGCTGCGAGAGACAACAAGAAGAACAGGATTATCCCAAGGCACGTGCTTTTGGCAGTGAGGAACGACGAGGAGCTCGGTAAGCTTCTTGCCGGAGTGACGATTGCTCATGGCGGGGTGCTTCCGAACATCAACCCAGTTCTTCTTCCAAAGAAATCAGAGAGGGCAGCAGCAGGGAAGGAACCCAAGTCCCCATCCAAGGGCACCAAGTCCCCCAAGAAGGCCTAACTTCTCGTATGCCCCACTTGAATTCTCATTTTGTACCTAATTTTCTTAGCTGTAATCTTCATGCTTAGGACCACTTCTCTCTGTTTGTGCCTTTACATTGTAGGACTGTTCTCACAACTCACAGCTCAGTTGAATTATGATGTAAGATTTATAACCCTTTTCTGAATCTTCACATCTTCTACAACTCATGTGATTTTCTTTTGATGTCTCATGATTTGAAGGGTGGAGATGTTTAGAGAGATTTTTTTTTTTTTTTAGAGAGAATTTTGAAAACTAGAACTGAGACACATAAAAATATCACTTTGATGGGTCCACGAGAGAGAAAAGTGTGGGGAAGGAAAATGATTTTGTCTTCTCTCTCTAGAAATGGAATCTTCAATTTATGTAGATAAAATTGGGAATTTGTTTGTCCATTTTCATATTTTTTGGTAACTTCCAGTCAACCTAACTTCCTAACACAAAAAGCTGCTCAATGGAGCTTCCTTTTTTTTTTTTTTTCCTTTTTTCCTTCCTTTTTTTGCAAACCAACAGGACTTTTCTACAAGTGGCATAAATAAGTACATCTGTTTTGAATTTCATAAAAGTAAAATAAAGGCAATCCATCGACCAATATTTGGCGTGGTAAGTGGTGATTTTTTTTTTTATGAACATAGGGAGCAACGTTCTTCTTGAGAAGAGAGAGTATCAGAAATTTTAATAAACGAGATATTCAATGAGAAATGCAATTAACAAATATTGGCTAGATTTTTACAATTTCTTTATGAAGTGTAAACAAGAATAATTTGTCAGATTAGATTTCTTTTATTCTGTCACTGGTATGGTAGTAGGAATATTTATTAATCCAAGGTCAAAGTAAGAAGTATAAGACCAAATTGAAACAAAAGTTATAATGTAGGGTTAAAAATACAATTTAACCTAACAGTTACACGAAAACAAGAACTAATATTAATTCCTTGTCAATAACCATTTATTTCTAATGCCTTCAGATAAAATTGCTTAACCATTTTTTTTTAACTGGCAAGCAGACGGTAAAACCGTAAAAGTGGGCCTCGTTTATTAAATTTAAATAAAATTAATTGTAAAAAAAATAGAATCACAAGCCGACTATTTAATGTACTAGTTATTGGTTACTTGTCTTTCACTTTTTTTTTGGGATACTTTTCAGAAAACAAACAACACCGCAAGAAAAAAAAAATTGTAAACCACTCAAAATTTTGTCCAACACCCCATGGAAACAAAATTAGGTTCAAAAAGTGATGAGATTTAAAAATATGGAATAGAAATTTCTAAAAACAACGAATAAATGAGTATATAGGATCCGACTTTGGTAATCCCTTGAGTTTTAAATTTAATCCCTAATTCCTGATTATTATTTTTTTATACAAAAATAAAAATTCACGCACACCTATTTCCAAGCGTACGGACATTGGCACATTGGCAAACAGTCTCTCTACTTCATCATTATAATATTAAAAAAAAAACTTTAAAAAAAAAATCAAATCAAGACCGGGAAGGCACAATGATCATGGAACCCAACAAGACAAGTAGTAGAGTTGAAGTGCAGATTCATTACAATAGGCTTTTCAAAAAATAAAAAATAAAAAATATAGCCATTGATCTTAGACTAGTATGATCGCTGTGTAATATTTTGATTCAGTCCTTGATACAAACATTTATACGCATAATTTCTTTTCCTAACAAAACGTAGTGTGAAATCAAGTATGAAAGCATATTAACAAAACATAGAGACAAGAACATCTTTCCTTTGAGACAGTGTAGGCCTTCCAATGCATGATGAATGGAATTGCGATTACCAAATTTCTTAGAGGACTACCGCCTCAAGCTCTCCACTATGTAATCTGCATAGAGGTCCCTGCATAAAGGAGAATAATACAATCATCATTGGATCCAATTTGGCTCGGACACTCATGGATCTTGAAAACAAAGAATCATCGGATTGAAGCTGCTACTGGTACTAGAAAATTACAATTACAAACAAGCGACAATTTGCAGGGAGACCATTTGCTTACATTGAGTGTTGGATGGCCTTGAAGGCATCAGTGGCTGGCAGAAAGTCATTCACAGCTACCTCCTTGTTCTCATTCTTCTTGTCTGAATGGTTTGTCAAGGAAAAATCACAAGATGAGAAAAAACCACTGCAAGTTGGTTCTCGCCGGTGATGTTAAAAACTATCAAATTAATTTTAGGATACAGTCTTCAAAGAAGCGGCGAATCTCGGCCAATCGATGCGGTGGGAGCTCCTTAATGTCATTGTAGTGACGGTATTCAGGATCATCAGCACAAACAGCTATAATCTTGTCATCTTTTTCACCCTGTATTTATTATGATTAGATTTCTCTCTTATTTAAGAACACAAGATAATAGTTATTCGAGGAAAAGGTACCTGGTCAATCATAGGCATAACGCCTATAGCTTTCGCCCTCAGAAAACATCCAGGAAGAACTGGCTCCTGGAAATATTTCAGAGTGACATCAGTTAAGATATGCACCCATGTTATTACAAGTGTTACTTTCATTAAAGAAATCGTGTTTGTACCTGCATGATGACTAAGACATCAATGGGGTCATTGTCCTCACAAAGAGTCCGAGGAATGAAGCCATAATTGTGTGGGTACACGACAGAGGAGTAAAGAATCCTATCAACCTGAATAAACATGGACCGTTTCATCCGACTGATGAAAGATAAAATCCACTGAAAATACAAGTGATGAAATTAATACTACCTTGATCAAACCAGTTCTTTTGTCAAGTTCATACTTCACTTTGCTTCCTTTTCCTATTTCAACCACCTGCATGATGGAAATTCATCAAGCTCGAACTTTTTTATCAATATTCATCAGAAAACTTCTGTGGAAATTCAAAAGTCAAGCAGCTAATATAAGAAGAAGAAAACAGGATAACAATTTAGAATGGTGAGCCACCATTGGAATAACATCGATATTCCTACTATAAAGTTGTTATTTCAAGCCTCATGGCATTCTCACGAAATTATAATGTGCAATTGTTAATGTACTATAACACAAGCAGTGCTCGATTATCTGGGAAGAACTGTATCACATACTAATACAATCATTTTAAGCAACACCATATATGAAATTATGGAATTCAGATCAGTATCCTTACACAATTGAAAACCGTTGGAGCCCCAGGTCCTGAAATAGAATTATAAGTTTGTTTATTAGTAGATTATTAGAATTATAAAATCTCACCGCTGAAAAATGTACAATAAATTACCAGTGAGGTATACAACATACCTATCTCAAGATCATGCCAAGGGTGTGCAGCAACAGACCTCCTGGTCATTGATGAAAGTATTCTCTCATTGAGTGGTGCGTGTGGGGAAGGATGAGAATTGTTTGATGTTCCATTTGAAGGAGCCATAACAGCAAGCTGGAAGTGTAAGCACCAAATCAGTACATTTACTTTCAAAAGAAGGTTAAATTCAAGGATGTACCTTGAGATACTCAATAAAGTATATATTTACAAGCACATTATTCAAGGACCAAATCTTTCAACATAATTTCACATCAGGTACTTTATCTGGGCAGTATTACCAAAAATTGGAATTTGACCAAGATATATAAATTTATATGTCCCAAGGATGTAACAAGTGCCTTAAGCCATCAAGTTTATACTGAACCTTATCACAAATGGATAAATGAATGAAGTTCACAATTAGACTGATATTTGAGAATTTACTGATTGGCATATGAAAGAAGTAGTACGAGGAAAAGCTCAATTTTTAATACGTGCATGGAACTTCCTCTCAAAAAACATAATCACAAATCCATATTTAAAACATTTAACAGAAAAACATATCTAAAAGCTCATGCAACCTTTACACCTTTAGAAATTAAAGATAATAGCATTAGCACCATATTTGTCACTCTTTCACCTGTTTATCAGAGTCAGCCAGTCAACATACTAGACATCATGGAAGAAGACAGAGGATTACCATATCTTGCACATCATCTTGCACTTTTACAACTAAGAAATCAGGATCTATAATTGTGATTAGAGCAACCAAAACGAAAATCCAGGCAGGAGTATTTAAAAGCAACGGAGAGTACGCAGTTGACATCTTCCTAGATCGTAAACATTCACAAATACGGACACAGATGGTTCAGATTCGTAAATCTATGAGCATCTTAACTATTTTCAATGAACGATAACCAAAACCTCAATAACTTCCCATAAACTCCATAGGTTTTTAACAGAACACATGTGACAATTGACACTGCCCTAAGGTATAAAAGAAAAAGTCTCCGATGTTGATTTTACGTAGATTTAGAAATGATAGATCCAAATACCGCATGCTTCTTGACTAGAATAATGTGTCCAACTTTCCATATCATCATTCATAACTTTCAGGTAAATTTCTGTCTAGCATTCGAGTATGAATTCTTTCTCTCTTCCCTATATTTTCTCTCATGTCTCTCTTTTCTGTTATCTCCTCGGTTTCCCTGTATATTCCGCATCTCTGCTTCTTTATTCCGGTAGCCATGTAAGCAGAGTAACAGTTATCAACGTTTCAACACAACACAACGCTTCTTATAACCACAGATTCAAAACGCATACGTAAGCAGATAACCGGCAATAAATTAGAGCAAAAGAAACCACACGAACAACGATCTCCTGGATCTACCATTCCAGCATCTTCCATGCAAATGAAGCAGAATGGCGACAGATATTTCAAAGAAAATGTACTCCATCAATCACAAGATAGCTCGAGCACAGTAAAAATCATTCATCCGCTCCACAAACGCCAAAAAAAAAAAAGACAAAAACTCCAAAACATCAAAGACAAACACACACCACAAGAAGGCAGATAGCAAACAGACAAAATACAACAAAAACGATTCAAAACTAACTTCACAGTTGATCTCCATGAGCACAGCGACATTCAGAAGCAAGAGCGGAATAACAGACAATAAACCGAAACTAAAACTCGTGAGATTGAAGATCTACGGCTCAGAAATCGAACCTGAAGCTTCAGACGAGAAATGGAAGCGAAAAACTGGAGCGCAGATCTCAATGCCTTTGAGAGAGATTGAGCGTGAAGGAAGCGATGACAGAAAGCCTCTACACGAGAGAAAGCAGAGCTGTACGCTACACGTTCCCGCTCTCTTCCTCTTACACCATTTTAAAGGGAGCGAAAGAAGAGAGAGAGAGCAGACAAAAGCGAAAATTCTCCAGTTTCAGCGCATTCAAAAAATAAAAATAAAAAAGGAAAAAGAAAAATAAGTAAATAAAATGCGTATATTCGGGGAAGCGAGACTGGCGTTGGCTCCAGGATACAGTTGTTGTGACTTGAGTCGAGGCGATACGCGTCGTTTCGGTCCAGCGAGTGGACTGGGACCCACTTTGACGGTGACGGAGTTTTTCTTTAACGGTCCTGCGGTGCGGTTTGATCTAAAGCCGTTACCGTTACCGTTAGCGTCAGCGTTAGCTAAGCTAAGCTAAGACGGTACGGAGTCTTTATTACGTGTTTGGTTGGGAATTCCTAAAGCAGCATGGTTTTCCTTTTCCCATTTCCTCTTGACCTTTTTTTTTTCGTCTATTTTTTTCCCTTAATTTTCAATTTAATTGCTGAAATTTTTAAAATATTTCTAAAAATTGATTTAAAAAATAATGAAAATTCTTTTTTTAGTACCAAAAATAATGAAAACTATGGATGATCCTGCTTTGTTTTTATAAATTTCTTGAAAATTTAGATGAAGTATAAATAAAAATGAACATATAATGATATAATTATATATTTTATAAAATTTTCTCATTTAGTTAATATCGGTTTCACTCATGTTTTTACAATATTCATATTTAAAAGGTTAATTTTTTTTATGAATGAATCGATATAAATATTGTTCAGCGAGTTAAACGATCCGAGTTAATCCTCTCTCTTCGTTAAACTCAAAAATAATAATAATAATAATAACTACACTTTATTCATAATTTTAACCCAATTATCCGACATAATTACTTTTCTTATCAAATTTTTTAAATCTTATTAAGCTCTTGTATTAATCTCAATTCATTTATACTTCATCGGTTTGGTTGTTAAACTATGTCAGAAACTTCAATAAATGGAGTTTCACCTCAATACTACGTTAGTGAGTATTAATGATAGAACCTAAAATTAATTATAATTCAAAATTTATGGATACACGTTATAAAGTAAAATATATGAAACATTCAAAATACAAAGATTAAATTATAAAAAATGTCCTACTCTTTCAAAAGTTTTAATACTATCATTAACATTTCATAAACATTTCAAAAATTTTAATAAATATATGCTCATACATTAAACGAAAATTTGACATCGTAGAATTTAAAATAATGTGTAATTAATATAAAAGTTTACTTCGATTAAATATAAAAAGAGAGGAAATGTGAAAGAAGCTATCATTTTTAAAATGGGATTATGGCAAAATTGAGTAGAAAATATGGAGAAGCAAACTATGTTGACAGTGGAAGGAAGAAGACTTTCTGAGCACAATTTAGGTAGACAATCTATTTGAGGGAAAAAGACAACATGACACATGGACCAACCAAGTTAGATCCATCCACTTATTTTAATGGAGAAGACCGACCTACCCTTAGGATCGAGATAAACACCCAAAAACCAACTAGAGAATAAATCAAGTTCTCCTTGACCGACCTGAGGACTCTAACCTCAAACCCGATAGTCGACTTAGATCCCAACAACCCCCGACCATCAGTCGAAGTGACTCCAACGGTCTTGTCCTTCCCTCCCAGCTCGCTGTTTATGAAAGGGACACTCCACTACTCATTCAGGTACGCAATTCTACTCCAATAACGACCTACTTAGGATCATGCCTAAGTGTTTGTTTCCTTTTCGCAGATCCTATCTTGCTTAAGGTCGCACCTCGCCAGCTCATCTAGTTGCCACGTGGCCGACTTCAGTAGTTCGACGAAATCTTGCATCAACACAATCCATACATGATTCCACGTTAATTGTCACGTTGTTCTAGATTATGTCAACTTTTCGTTCAAAATATCAATAGATGTTTGTTTCAATAATATTTTTGAAACGTTTACAAAGTCAAAAGTAGTATTTGAAACTTTTAAAACATAGGAGTATTAAAAAAAGAGAGACAAAGTTTATGGGTTTTTTTTTTAATTTAGCTAAACAGAAATATGTAGTTTATTTAACCTCTACATTATTTCATAATAAAAAATAATTAATAAAAATATATAAAATATCCCCGTCGGTGCTTCAGAGGTTGGTACGGTTACTACTCGTGTGCAATGGTACATTCGCACGCATAGAAAAATATCTGGCGATCGGCCGTTAGTTAGGCGACAACTGACGTCTCCTCCACTTTTTTTAACGAGAACAATTTAGTTTTTAAAATAATTGAATTTTCTCCACGTGAATCCTTTTCAAACTTTACAATTCAATACTCTACGCTGAATTCTTCTTCCTTTTTATTTTCCTCCTTGATGTATATATTTATACATGTACATATGAGATGTCTTAATTATGTAAATCATATAATTAAAAGTCATTTGTAAATTTAACTCTAATCTCTAGTAACTTTAATCTGTGAAAACTTACCGCGAATGGTATTTATGATTATGTTGCATTACAATCCTCTTATTGGGATGAAAATTACTAAAAATTGCTAGCTGTTTAATACATGTATAAGGAAAAAATTTTGAAGAGTATATTTTTTACTTATTTTTCAATGTAACAATGATAAAAGAAAGTGTGTATAGAGAAAATAGACGTAAAGAAAATAATTTATAATGATAGGGAGCTTCTATACCTATAAAAAGAATATAGTCATTATAAAGAAGTTGATTAATGCAATATATGATGAGTGAATGGAGAAAATGAATTAGTGAAAGTGCAAGTAGAATTATGTAGATAGAAAATTTTCATACAGAAAAATGTGTCCATGTATCATGTATACATGGAGAGAGATCAATTTAAAAAAGACACGAGTGAGATAAAAGATGTAAAAAGAAATTTCTGATAGAAATAATATCGTTATTGCTTATGTATTTGAGAGAGATTAGTTAGCGAAGGAAGTCAACAAGAGATTTTGTAAAATTGAAATAAAGCGTAGTAAATATTAATATTCACAGATCCTTAACATACCCCTCAAGATCGTTGCTATTTTGGCTCATCAATCTTGGCTGGATCTCATTTTTTGATCGGAGGCTCGTTTGAGCTTTTGGGCTCTGATACCATATTAATATTCATGGAGTTTCATATCAAAATCAATTGACTATGAGAGAAGTATCTCATGTTTATTATAAATCATTGTATGTGGAGTCGTTAACAGTAAAGAGAAATTTAATTTACTGGAAAAAATGAGTATATTTAAGATAAAAATTAGTTGTAAATGAACCAGTGAAACAAATGTCATAGTTAGATTATTGAGTTCATCTATTTACCTTACAAATGAGGTGAATTATAGAAGAAAAGGTAAACAAAATACGGAGATATCAATATGTTCAATCCTACAATTTTTTTGAAGTTAGTTGACCCTCACGATGGAGATCACGATCATTTGTCCTAAGAAATTATATACGTGTAAAGAGATAGTAAGAAAGCATATTTGGAGAATAATATACTTCTCTGTTGATCACCATTATTAAGATTTTGACAACTAAGAGAGAAATGTAATTGAATTAGAAAGAGATTTTTTTTTTCAAATTTTTCTAAAAAAACAAAAGCTATCAAAGATGAGAAACAAAAAGGGAAGTATATTATCACTTAGAGGAAAGTTAATTATGAATAGAAAACATGCATGCACCGAGGAAGATTTATTAATTGAAAGTGTCCGTGGATAACAAATTAGCAAAAAATTACATCGTGTGTGTATGAGTATATATTTTTGGTGAGGGAGAAATAACATCGATGTAAAGCGATTATAGAGAGAAAGCGTACATCAAACAAAATTAATGTAGTAATTTTTTTGCAGCACAATAATTTATGTGGATGGAAGATCATATCGAAAAATGATAATAGTTATTTTATCCATTTAAAATAAGCTAGAATTGGTAATTACCTACCAAAGTTAGAGCATAGAAACTTTAACATATTATTTGCTTGCTCTTTACGCTGCTTGCCAAAGCTAAAGCTCATCAAAGCACATGTTGGATTTGATCTCCTTTGGAGGATATGAAAATTGATGGTTACATCCCATCAAATAATTTATCTTACAAGTTACATACCAAACAAAAATAATGATATTTCTTCTGATTGGGTAAACGTTGTCCTAATTTTATTCAATATTGGTTACATCCCATCAATATATTTTATTGGTTTCTTAAAAGAAAGAAAAAGGAAAAAAAAAAATCTTTTTACTCTTGGATTTAGTGGGGTGTACAACACAAAAGTAGGTCTATTGATTGGCCTAAACATTAATAGAAAATTAAGATTAATTAGGGAAATGATTTACTTGGATCTATAGAGAAAAAACTTGGATTTGTGAATTTGCAATGATGAGCTAGAGAATTGGTTTCCTTAACTAAGAGTAAATTTGGCATGACATTTGAAGAGGTGAAAATTATTTTAGTTATTCAAATTACTTTTTAAAATTTTAATCGTATTTGTTTATATAGTCAAGTATAATATAAATCTAAAAATACTTAAAATCATTGCAAGTAAAGATATTACGTACATTTCATAGTACTTAGTGACGTATTCAAAAGTATTATTCTCAAAAGTTATCTCAAACTCACTTTCAACACATTATATCTTAAGGAGTAGGTACGCTCTCTAACCTTATTATATATCCTCATCGATCAAATTAATAAACTATTGTTAACCACTTTTGACTTAGTATACCAAATCTATATTTGTGCCCTAATGCAAATGTTGTTTGGAGGATCAAATAGTGGTGTTAGAATGAGTTCTTTGCAATGGGAAAGAAATGATTCATATTCTTACTGGATAATAAGGTATTGGAAGCTTTGGCCCAATTGTGGTTGGACTTTGAAATTTTTTAGGGAGGAGGAGCTTAATTAATTAAAGGTGGAATTAGATTCTTTGAAAATTACTAGACTATTGAAGAATGCAAGTGGAGATATTTTCGGAAGTTGATCTCTTTAGCAAGAAGGTTTTGTTATTTATTGAAGATAAGTGAAAAGGTGTTGGCCATGGGATTGTCTCGAGACAAGTTTGGTAAAATATATTTTTTATACATCAAGTTTGGATTTAGTTTCT